CTTACACAAGTCAGATACAACGTTTCAATACGTATAGGTTACGGCTCGCAGACGGCTTTTATTTGGGAAGGTAACGAACCGGGCGACAGTTACTCAATTACATTTCAAGATTTACTAGATAAAGTTGTTATATTCTCGGCTGTACTTAGGAAACATGGTGTTCGAAAGGTAAACTGTAAACAAAAACCGGTTTTCAGAGCATCGAAACCTTGAAAATAACACTTTGTTTTCAGCTTGCTCGTTGGATTCCGAGAGTTGGATAGAGAAACAAGATTTTTTAGGGTGATGTTGTGGCAATCTACCTGCCGATGATCTTGGAACTTCCAATTGCAATGTTGGCCTGCGCAAGGATAGGTGCTGTTCACTCAGTAATTTTTGCTGGCTATGGTGCAAACGCTTTAGCAACCCGAGTTTCTCAGGCAAAGGCTTGCTTAATTGTTACCTGCGATGTATATTTTCGTGGAAGCAAAATGATTTCCAGTAAAGCAATAGTGAATCAAGCGCTGGATATGTTTTCGCCGCAGGTTAAATTAAGAAAGTCATTTTTAGTTTGTCTTCTGTTCGCTGTTTTCTGTTTGTTGTTCCCTTTACCGCTAGTCCATATTTAGAAGAATCCAGTTAAAGCAGTAATAGTTGTTAACCATCCCAAAACGCTTCAGTCAAAAAAATTGATGACGTCCTCAAAGGTTACTTATTCATACTTTTCTCGCAAAACTATAACGTGTTCGTTTTCCAGGACTTCTTAGAAATTATTAGATTATATATTTGATTTAACTTAGAAATTTAAGACTGTATGAATCCTAAAATAAACCAATCATAAATCTTACTGAACTTGCTGGTTTACTAGGTGGTCTATAAAGCCAACAGAGATTTTATTTGGAACGATGAAATGAACGAATGCAGTAATATGGAATCCGCAGTTGAGTGGTGTGAATCGGAAGACCCACTTTTTGTCTTGTATACCTCCGGATCAACTGGAAAGCCAAAAGGTCTTGTGCATGCTACTGCCGGTTACATGGTATATACGTACGCAACCACCAAATATGTGTTTGACGCTCGTAATGCAGATGTATTCTGGTAAAAACCATACTAAGCAGTTTTTAAACTAGTCTTTCCTGTTCGTTTGAGAAACGAATGATAATTTTTGCGAAGGTGCACAGCCGACTGCGGGTGGATAACAGGACATTCATTCGTCGTTTATGGAACCCTGCTAAACGGTATGACTTCTGTAATTTTTGAAGGGATTCCAACGTATCCAAGTGCGTCCCGTTTATGGGAAGTTGTCGAAAAATACAAGGTAGTAGCTATCTTAAGTCAGAGTTTCTCTCAAAGGATTTAATTAAATTATTTCTTCAAGGTTAACACCTTATATACGTCGCCGACTGTAATTCGTTTACTAATGGGTAAAGGTGAAGGGCCGTTACGCCAAAACGACAAGTCCTCACTCCGCATTCTTGCTTCAGCGGGTGAACCCATTGATCCAAAGGCATGGAAATGGTTTTACACCGTGAGTTTTTTCAAAATATGGCTTTACCATGTTTCAGATACACCATTTTCTGTTATGATTTTGGTGCGTTTGAGATGCGAAACTCAAAGACAATGCATCGGTAATTTATCTTCAATATTGCCTTCATCCTGAGTTAAGGAAGTTACACCACTCATTCTCCTTCAGCCACGCTGGCTGTAGCTAAAGAAGCTAAAAGTTTTTTACTGGAGAAGAGTTGCAAGGACGGTTGGGATGTCGGCAAAGCATAATTAAACTTTAGGAAACCACTAATTGCTGTAGTATGGCAGAGAGATGAATAAGAATGATTTTGGTGACACCGTGATTTATCATTTTACCCTGAAATGCAAAAACCATAAACAAACCTCACAGCCTTGGCCTTTTATAGTCAGAAGAATAGGTGTTGTTTTAAACTGCTAGTGAGCATTTGAAGAGCCAGTTGAAGAGTATGCCAAAACTCAAAATTTACCTTCGGGGACGCTGGAGATTTCTTTTTCAAATGCTTTAAACTGATTTTTAGGAGGTGGGAGGAAACTGTTGCGCAGTATTGGACACGTACTGGCAGACAGAAGCCGGAGGACCAATGATTACTCCAATTCCTGGAGCAACGGTTTGCAAACCTGGAAGCGCAACTTTACCGTTTTTTGGAATAAAAGTGGCTCTGCTTGACAAAAACGGTGTTGAGATTAGAGGTCCTGGAGAAGGAAACTTGGTGCGTTCTAAAGCAAAGTTTTCCACGCTAATGTTCCTAGAAACCATAGTTAGACACTAATTACGTTAGCAACATATCTGGATTTTCAAAACTTTTTTAGTGTTTTAAAGCGCCCTGGCCTTCGCTATGCCGTACAGTGTTGGGAGATAGCTTACGTTATGAATCTACGTACTTTGCACCATACCCTGGTTACTTCTTCACGGGTGACGGAGCAAGACGTGATGAGGATGGGTACATTTGGATAACAGGTAACATCTTATTCTTGACTACGATACTGACTTGATGACTTTATACCCAGGCAGAGTTGACGACTTAATAAATGTTTCGGGACACCTGCTGTCCACAGCCGAAATAGAGTCTGCGTTAGCTCTAGATGATGATGTGGTTGAAGTCGCTGTAGTCGCTGCCCCACATGACATCAAGGGAAGTTTCCCGTATGCCTTTGTCCGACTACGAGATGTGAGTTTCTACCGCACACACTGTTTGTTTGGATGACAGTTGACGTGACTAATTTAAGGGCAAAAGACTCACCGAAGAGAAAGTTGTCGCGCTGAAGACTCTTGTGCGCAAAAAAATAAGTCCAATCGCTGTTCCAGATGTTATTCAAAGTGTACCTGGGCTACCAAAAACACGCTCTGGTATTCTTATGCCGCCACCTACTCTTACTGCCTTTAGAGCCAGATTTTCAAACTCTACAGCCGTTTGTTACACTTTATTTAAAACTTTTTAAGGTAAAACTCCACGCAGAATTTTACGTAAAGTTGCCGAAGGAGATGTAGGTGCAGATCTAGGAGATACTTCAACATTAATAAATCCGAAAATTATTCGTTCGCTGTGGGACTCACGCAGAAGCTGCAAATCTGGTTGAAAATGACTACAAACTAAGTCCGCCTCAACCGTGAAGTGCTTGCACTGATCCTTAAATATGAACAACGGCTAACACTTTTGTGTCATAATATAGTCCTCACCAGTTACACTGTCCGAGCTAATTCATACGACTCATTGTTTTACCTCGCCATTGTACCTTTAACAGTTTCGTACAACGAGTACTGTGTAACTCTAAACATTTTTCTGTGGCAGTTCTGTATATATGAGTAACTACGTTTTAGTAGCAAAAACTTTAGCACTGGCATAGTTCCAATATTTTATGAATTACTGTAATAAATCTTAATTAGTGCACCAAAGACTTCGCAGAATTTTTAAAAAGGCTGGTTTGTACCAGATGCTCCTTAGATTTTACTACATGAATTTGTGCTGTATCGCTCCTTCATCTGTGAAATGACGAGCACTGATCTGAGAAATTCATCTGGCTAAGCCACAATAAGCGGCATTAATGAAGACGTACACTACAAGTCCCCCATTGGAAATGTTTGCTTTTCCGTCTCAGCATACCTTGATTTGACGCATCGGCTGTAAATTGGGCGATACCTAAACTGAATCTCAGTTAATAACTTCATTTTCATTGTTGAAAAGTAGAATTAATTTTAAATTATTTACTTTAAATGCTGATCCAGTATTCTCTATAACATCTTCAACAGTCAGATCCTCGCGCACTTCAGTTAATGTCAGCCCATTGACAAGGTCAACTTCAAACACTGCCTAAAACTTCTAAGGATTATTTAGAACTTTACCAACTAAAAGCAGACTTTTATGAGGTACCATATCAGTGATAATTGTGTTGACACAATTTTTTCCCGTAATTGGAAGAGTACACTCGTCTACAATATTTGGCTTCCCGTTAGTCGTGTGATCCATAGTGACAATAATCTTGGACGCTGATCCACTGACTAAATCCATGCCTCCGCCTATACCTTTAGCCAATTTACCCTAAAACACGTTTCGCCTTACTACTCACTTTGTACTTTAATGTAAGGTCAGAACAAAAATTTCACAAACTCTGTTTCCAAAACTCCCAGAAATAGCAAATCATGATAATTATGTTCATTTCTGTGTAAAATAACCTACCTAGTACAATTAAACAATTCATAGTGCTAAACAAGTTAATAAAACGAAATAAATGTAAGAAGCAAAAAATCCTAAGAAAGAAGAAACCTCTTTAAGAACTCCTTTAAGATAAAGAACCTCTTTTGTTAGCCCCACTTAAAGACGTAGAGTACGTAGTAGAGACGTAGTAGCCTCAAATTTGAATTTTAAACGCAATTAAGCTCGTGACTCGAATCACTAATTGTTCTCGTGAAACCAAATTTTACAATGATTTCCTACCTAACACAGATTTTGACAGACGAAAATGCAAGTTTGAAATTCTGTAGAGTAATTAATAGCACGTATTTTCGA